GTGGAGTTTGCATGCTCTCTCCGTGCATGTGTGCGTTTTCTCTGGGTATTCCAGTTTACTCCAGACCAAAAACATGCATGTAGGCTAACTGGTAACTAAATCATCCCTAAGTGTGATTGAGAGAGTGAATGGTTGTTTGTCTTGTTTGTCCCTATGTGTCCCTGTGATGGACTTGTGACTTGTTCAGGGTATTCCCCACCTCTGGCACAGTGACTGCTGGATATGGGCACCAGTGAACCCTATGACCTGAAATGGAAGAAACGGGTAAAAGATAATGGCTGGAAGAATGATAATATTGTTTTTTATGATTACAGCATATGTCAAAAAAACCTCACTTCTCCTAACTTTAATAGTAATCTAATTTATTTCTCCTCTCAATAATCTTGTGCACCTGTGACAAAATATAAAACTCGAGTAGCTTAACCTTACATAACCCACTCCAAATGGATGATGAAAGCGGTCACAAGTTTGTGCCATAAAATCCCTGTTCTTAAACAGCAGATAACAGGGTTTCAAAATCACAGTGCACTTTATACCTGTATTGTGAACTACTAGCTATTAAAACAATTTTATCAAACAAGTTCATGAACCTGTGAAGACACAAGGTAAAAAAGGAATCAGTTTTTGATTTGCAGAGTTTCAGAGCAGATTTTAAAGGACGAAACCTGTCTAAAGTTGGAGTTTGGACTTAAATCAAAACAAGCCACTGAATTGAGATAAAGGACAGCTTCTGCCTCATTTGATAACAGGTATGTGAATTTCTAAAAACTTATGAGGTAAAGATTGCAATCTAATATAATATCAGGGATGTAACTGCCCTCGTATACAAAGGACTTGACACTATTTATGCTTCTGTGTATGAGAAATATGGTCATATATTGACTAAGCACATCTTTTTCTGCTCTTGACATTTTAGGAGCCATGCCTTTGCATCCTGTTTGTAGGATCTTTATGATATTTAGTTTATGTGTGATTTTTTTCACACCACAATGCAATGGGGGAAACATTCTGGTGTTACCTGCCGATGGCAGCCACTGGATCAACATGAAAGTACTCCTGGAAGAACTTCATGCCAGGGGACACAACAT